ATGAATTAAAAGTTAAACTTTACCGGAGGTGTGGAAGTAGTGAGACGTGGAAGAAGTAAGAGCAGAAGACGACGATGACGACGACGTTGAGGAAAATTAATACGAGAGGGAAAAAAACCGGAAAATTCGCGTAATTAAAAAAAAACGGGTTCGTTTAAAGAATAAAAATACGAAGGAGTTGTAAATTAAACGGAAATGGTTTTTTCTTACTTGTCAGGCAGGCACAAGATCTGGTTGTCGGTTTGTTGTTTGTTGTTTGTTTGTCAGGTTTGTAAATGTCGAAAATAGTGTAAATAGTGACGACGACGATTGTCCTTAAGCTTTGATCGAAAGTTATAGATCAAGTTGTTTTTTTTTTTTGTTTGTTTGTTTGTTGTCATTGTTGTCGTCATTTTTCCACGTCGGAAGATTTTTTTTTTTTTTTTCGCGGAAAATTATATTCAACAAACAAAAATTTATTATTATTATTATTATTACTATTTTTTTTTTACCGCGTTTGTATTTTAAAATAAATTTAATTAAAAACGGAAATGCTCGACTTGTTTCCGGCTTTACGTGACGGAAAATGTGTTGATAATTTGCTTTTATGATTCTATTGTATCCAGGTTTGTTTTTATTTCTGGAGAAAAAAAAAGAAGGAAGTTGTTGTTGTTTCCGTTGGAATTAACGATGTTAAATTGAAATGAGTATTGGTACCAAAGAAGGCAAGTTTTGGCACAGATAATAATAATAATAATAAAATGTGAATCTAATTCCTTAAGGCGTGATAACAAACAAACAAAAAAAAACGATTATGAGCACAATGAACGGCGCGACCTTGTTATTATTATTATTATTATTAATATTATTTATTATTTTTACAATAATAAAAAGTTCATCTCTCTCTCTCTCTTTCTCTCTCTCCTCCTCTCGCCCCTTCGCATTCTCTTTGATTTAAAGGTAAAATAATAATGATACATTGAATGGTTGTAATTTATCAGAGTCAGTCAGTCAGTCAGTCGCAGGTGTAACGTTTTTTTCTTCTTCCACGTCACTTCTTCACCCTCACGAAAGGTTGTCAGAAAAAAAACGAGAAAAAAATGTTTTTTTTTTCTTTCGAAAGGAGACGAGGGGAGACATTTTGAATTGTGAATGAATTCTTCATTGTTTAAATTAAAAAACCGTCTTGGATGAATTCGAAACGAGATCCTTATTAATTTAACGTTTAAGTGTAAGAAGAAGAATTTTATCGTGGCGGGAGATTTTTTTTTTTTTTTCCGTGTGTGTACGAGTGAGTGAGTAAGTGTCGGAAGAAAAAATAAGACGAGAGAGAGATAGAGAGACGTATTATTTGACGAATACAATGGTTTCATTGTTATTATCACGAACGGATTTTTTTTTTTTTTTTAACAAGGAAAAGTTTTATAGAACGACAAGTTTATTTTTGTTTTCGAGGGGGAGGGGAGGGAAGGGAGAGGGAGGAGTGTGGCGGTGAGGAAGAGTGTAAGAGTTTGGAAGTTGATTTGTTTTTCGAAACTTTTTTTTTTTTATTGTGGTTTGTAATTTGAAAATAATAATAATGATAAGAAGGAGAAGAATAAGATTCAAAGCGTGGTAGTAGCAACACCAGGCTCGTACACAGTGCTGTGAGTGCCACAATGGGTAGCCTTGCAACCAATTCCGGAAGGTATCAGTTTTTGAAAAATTGAAAAAGAAGAAATAAATGCTCGAGTGAAAAAAGGACGGCGTTGTAAAAGGAGTTTTCTCTCTCTCTCTCTCTCACTCTCTCTCCCTCTCTCACTCTCCAAAGGCACCGCCGAGGTTCTGTGAAAAAATCACAACGAAAAAAACAAAAAAAACCTGAGCCGAGAGAGAGAGAGGAGAGGATGACGGTGAAAGATTTCAACGAGTGCGGAGGATCAAATTGATAATAATGATATTGTTTGTCGAGAGAGAGAGAGAGAGAAAGAGAGCATTGTTCTAGAATTTACCGTTACATAAATTGATTAATATCCCGTAATAATTTAATAAACGACTCGATGATAAATTTATATTAATTTTTTTATATAAAAGTTCCGACGTGAATATTCAATGAACTTGAAATTGCTGACCTCCATTTTTCTTTTTTAAGTCGGAAAAGAATGGGGGTGGGGTGGAGTGGAGAGGGGAAATTTGGATTTCGATCTTGACTTGGAATTCTATTAAGCATCTCAGCTTCGTGAGCTTGTTATTATTATTATTATTACTGATTGAATTTCTATTTCCTTTTTTTCCCTTTTCTCATCCTGAAGGAGGATCCCTTGTACACACACACACACGTGAATCAATCATCTCCCCGGGGATTTTTGGGTTATGAATTTAATAAACCGAGAAAATTGTTTATTGCGGTTTGAAAATCGAAAAGGGCGATTCTTGTATTTGCCGCCATCATTGATTTCACGTGGGGGGAGAGAGAGGGGGAAAGACGTGGAAGCAGATGACTACCGTTTTATATATATTTTTTTTTTATTCGAAATTTAAAAAATCATTTTAATTCATTCATGTTTTTTTTTTTCTTGTCTTGGATTTTTTATGTATTTTACATTTTCGTGTTGTTTCCCCTCCCTCCTCCCCCTCCTCCACTGTTTTTTTCTTTGTTTTGTTTTGTTTTGTTTTCCTTCTCTTTTTTTTCTCTCTTTTTATTTCTTTTTCGAAATAAAAATATGAAATAAATATAAAAAATGAAAAATGAAAAAAAAAAAAAATTATATATTTTCTTTTTTATTTGTTTTTGTTTTTGTTGTTGTTGTTGTTGTTGTTGCTGATGTTATTATTATTATTTTTTTTTATAATTGAAAAGACGAAATGAGACAATAATAATAATAATGATGATGATTTTATGGTAAATATTATTTTTAAAAAAATTTCAAATCAAGTTTAATGATGTAAATGATTGATTTTTTTTTTTTGAACGAAAAAGGAAAACGTTGTATTTTTTCCTCCTCCCGCTTCCCTCCCTCGTATTTATAGAGTTTTAAAGAGGTAAAAGGGGAGGGGGAGGAAAGGAAGGAAATCCCGAGTTCAAACCGTTATTATCATAATGAAAAACGCGGATTTTTTTTTTTACTTTTTTACTCTTTTTTTGCGGTTTTTTTTTTCCCCGCCCACTCGAATGGATTTTAAACTACGTTCTCCAAAAAAAAAAAAAAAAAAAAAAAAAATGGAATTAAATTTTTATTTCGAAATTGTATTTTTTTTTTTGGGGGGGGGGAAGGGGAGTTTCGCGTTAGTATGTTATAATGTACCGTTGGTTGTTTGTTGGAATAAAATTCCGTTAATTGAATCCTTCGAATCATTTTTTAGTGTTTTTATATCGGTGTCACTTACGCCCACCACCACCGCCACCACCACCATCGCGACCACCATCACCGCCTTCTTCATCGGACGTTTTTGATGAATGAAAAATGAAAAAATGAATGATCGCGAAATGTTTTTGAAAATGTTTCTTTCTTACGCTTTCGAGTCTTTTTATTTTATTATTATTATTATTATTATTATTATTATTATTATTATTATTATTATTAACATCATCATCGTCATCATTATTATTAATTATCTTTGTCTTTTTGTATTTTATTTAAGTGTCCTTCAACTGCGGTCTCTTCAGGTTTTTTCTTTATTGCTTTTTTTTTTTTTTCATCGCTCGCTTATTTTTTTACCTGATATTTTGACGAACCAACCGGACGGATGGACGGACGGACGGACGGACGGACGGACGGAGGTATTTTTCCGCTAAAAGCACCTGCTTATATGAATAATATCGACCTTGATTGAAACCTGAACAAAAAAAAAAAAAAAAATTTTATAAAATGTGAAAATATCATTTTAATTATGATGATTTGTTATCGTCGTCATCGTCGTCGTAGTCGCACGCACATGGTCTTTGTCTTTCAATCCCGGAGTGTTACAACCTGTTTTCATCATCATCATCATAATCATCATCATTATCTTCTTCTTCTCCTTTTGTGAAAAGCGAATCGAATCGATTAAATATTTTTTTTCTGATTGTTTTAGAAATTTCACATAATGATAATGATATCGGTTTTGTTTGTAAATTTTCCAAGTTTTACATACCTTTACATGCCACATTATTATTATCATTATTTTTTTTTTGAGAGGGAGGAGGGGGTGGAAAGTAAACTTACGGCTCGTACGTCGGATCAAAGGAAAACTTAATAATATTACCTTTTTTTTTTTTCCTTTTCCTTTTTTTTTTTTTTTACGCTTTAAGAGTTTTTCAATTTTCGTTTTTTTTTTTTTTTGTTACCTTTCGACTTGATTTTTAAAGAAAATGGTGGAATGCCCGGCGGCATTTTTTACTTTCAACCATTTTAATTTATTAATATTTAAATATATATTACATTAAATATTTAAAAATTAATTTGAAGTTTTAGACGATGACGACAAAGAAGGAGAACGTTCTAATATGTTCGCGAACGTTCTTCTCCCCCTCTTTCCTCTCCTCCCTTTCATCCCTCCCCTTCCCTCCCCCCGATTTCTTTCGTTTTTGAATGACGTCATGGAAAATAACCGCGAGAAACAAACCGTAAGATTTTTTTTTTTTTTTTTTTTTTTTTTATATGCGAGTTAAATTAAACGTAAAAAAATTTTTTTTTTCTCTTTCCTACCAGCTGTTAAAAAAAAGGATTATCTGTTCCAGAAAAACAGAGAGAGAGAGAGGGGGATGGAGATAGAAAGAGAGAGAAAAGGGTTATTTGATGTTTTTTTAAATTTTTTTTTGTTAATAATGGTGTTAATCGAATCGGATGATTTTCATAAACGGATTAAATTTTTTTTTTTTTTTAATTTTATTGATATACGGTTGGTTGTGGAATTATTTCCGGTTCATGTTCGTCGATTTCGATGACTGCTCATTGATTACATATTTATTATTATTATTATCATCATGATTGTCAACGAGTTATTTCGTTTGTTTTAATTTTTTTTTTTTTTTTGTTTGAATTTTGTAGGAAATTCGTCAGATGCTGTCAGATTTTCCGATAATATCGGTAACTCTATCATGCGGACACGGTTCGGCGGGATCGGCAAAAGCATACCTCGAAGATCCGGAAATGCTCGAAGATTGGGATAAAGACAGAGCATTCCTTCTTAGAGGTCAAAAAATTCCCGTGAGTCCTACGTTAACGGAACTCGTTTTATGCGTTGCCAGGTATCCCTTTCACTACAGCGAGTCTCATTTCACGGGTCTCGTGAGTTCCTATGGAGAAGTTAAAATGTGCTTTCTAATGATCTCCGAAAAAACAGGTGAGTGAGTCTTCCATATTTTTCTTTTATTTTCACCGCCATTATTATTATTATTATTATTATTAACTTTGATGTCATTATTATTATTATTATTTTTCTCACGTCAAAGCAAAAAAAAAAAAAAAAAAAAAAAAAAAAAAAAACAAAGAGAAAACGAGAGAAATAAATAGCCGGACGCCGGTCGGAGAATAATATTATTAATAATAATTATTATTATGATTATTTGCTTGGTTTCCTTTTTTTTGCTGTGGCAGCAGATCAATGACTTTTTTTTTCTCGTTCCACGTTCAATTGCCAAAAAATTTTAAATTAAACTTGTTAATTATTGAGAAATGAATTTTTTTTTTTTTTTTTAAATTTTCGAACGGGGGTTTTTTCTCCGGGGAAAAAGGTGTTGGAGGGTGGGGCTGGGGCTGGGGGGTGTAAAATGTCGACGAGACTTTTATTATTACTCTATGAAATTATCTTGAGATGACAACAAAATTGAATAATTTGAAAGTTTAATTAGATTTTTACTTTTTTTTTTTTTTTTTTTTGCGCGCGCGAGTTCCCGTAGACATTTTCCGTTTTTAAAAAATTTGACCTGAAATTTTCTCTTCGTCTGAAAAATTTGAATTGAAAGCAAAAAAATACTCGAACAAAGGGCCGAAAGTTAAAATAAGGCATCAGCAAAACGATTATAAAATAACAATAATAATAATAATAATGATGATAATAAACGTTAAAATTTGTAATTGTTAGTTGCGTTAAGTTATGAAAGTCGAAGGAATCGTGGAAATTGGGAAATGGATCCCCGGTTTTATTTTATTTTTTTTTTCATTTTAATTTTTTGTTTCTCTTTCCCTTCTCTTCTGTCCTCCCCCTACCCTTCCTCTCCTTTTCTTTCCCCCCTTTTTTTTTTAAACTTTTACGAATTTGTTCGTTTGTTATACGTTTACCCTTTTTATCTTTTCTCTTTTTTTCTTTCTCTCTCTCTCTCTCTCTCTCTCTGTTTATGCTAACTGAACACGATTTTAACGATTTTTTTAATGCCAATTATCATCAACATCATCATCATTAGTATTATCATCATTATTATTATATATTACATGAAATGAAAAGTTGTGGAAAATTCGGAGCTGTGGAAAAAAAAAAGAAAAGTTTTTTGTTTGTTGTACATGTTTTTTTTGAAAAGAAAAAATTTTTAACCGTGGAATAATTAAACCGTGAAATTCTCTTTTCTCTTCCTTTTTTTTCTCTCTCTCCATATCCTTCTCCCCTTCCCCCTCCCCGTCGCTCACAACACACGAGAAAATAATTCGAAAGTTTTTTTTTACGTGGGGGGAGAGGGAGGACCGTGCCAGTTAACAAAGAAACAAAAAGAAAAATAAAGTCGAAATGATACTGTGGTCGTACATAAACAGAAAAAAAAAAGTATATCTTTTCTCCTTCCCCCCCCCAAAGCATAAGTTTAAGAGGAAAAAAAAACTGAATAAAACATGGTTGACAGTGTTTGAAAGAAATCACGTGACTCGACACTCGTCGACTTTCGCTGTTTTGACACGTGCAGAAAATTGAATTGAAAATAACTGTTTTGAAAGTACTTAAACATTTATTAAAAGTAATTTTTCTAAAAAAAAACTAATTTCATCATCATCATCATCATCATGATCATCGTCGTCGCCGCCGCCATTGTGATCATTATCATTATTTTATTTAATAAAATCACAGAGCGGATTAGATAATCCATTATTTCCTCATCTTTCTTTTCGAAAGGTTTTTACGAATTACTATTATTAATATTATCATTATTATTATTCTTTTTTTCCAGGAGAGAGTAAAGGATACGGTTTCGTCGAATACGCTTCCAAAGAAACGGCTTTGCACGCGAAAAGCAGTTTAGACGGATTAGTTATAAATGACGTGACACTTTGCGCGGATTTCATAGACAGCACGCACACGACGTTTGAATCCCTGCATTCGAAGTGCCTTTACGTGGACAACCTACCTCAAAATTATCGGGACATGGGAGAGTTTCGAAGGAAATTCAGCAAAGTAATAAATCCCCCATATTGTCAAATCGCATTGAAAAACGGATGCCCGCAAAATTGGGGACTCGTAGAGTTCAACAGCGGAGAGGATGCGGAAAACACTTTGACGCAGTTGAACGGTTCCGAGATCAAAGACAAAAAACTAAAAATATCCTACTACATACCCGGAGTGAGAGCCATTAATTTGTACCTGAAACTATTGAACGAAACGGACAATAATCGGGGAAAGGGAAACGGACTCCTCCCGACGCCGCCTCCGGGAGTCTTTCAAAGTTTTAAAAATCTTCAAAAGCAGAATCCTATTTGTAAGAATCAAAGAAACTTATTATCATTATCATTTTTTATAATCATCATCATCATCATTATTGTTGTTGTTGTTTTGTTTTTTTTTCTCTTTAAAATAATTTTGGTGTCGCCGTGTTTGTTGTTTGTTTGTTTGTTTTTCCTTTTTACTTTTTTAAAAAAATTTTTCTTCGTGAAACTTTTCGCATTGTTTTCTTTTTCTTTTTGAGTTTTTTTTTTTTTTTTACTTACATTTTTGCAATTCTATTTATTATCATTATTACTACTGTCAAATTTAAATCTGCATTCGATTTTGTGTTGCTTTTTCATCATCATTATCATCATCTTCTTCTTCTTCTTCTTTTTGATAAATCTTTTAATAAAAATTGGTTTAATTTCTTCGCGCAATCTTTCCATATTTTTTCTTTTTCTTCTTACACGTCTTTATTTCTGGTTTCCCCCCCCCCATTTTCTTTTCTTTTCGTGAAGACATTCGTGCCTTCCCCCTCCCTCCGTTTATAATTTCTTTCGTGGTTATAGACGTGTCAAGTCGTTTTTATGTGTTAACAGGCGGTTAATTTTTTTAAATTTTTCTTTCACGCTTTTCCCAAATCGAAATCGGGATGCGAATTTTCCCTTTTTCTTCTACTCAATCCACGTTGTAACCATTGAAAAAAATGAAATGTGTAAGGGAAAGGGGAAGAAAGAGAAAGAGAGAAAGAAAAAGAGAGAGAGAGAAAGTTGAAAAACTTAAAAAAATTTTTTTGCAGTCGCACAGAGTATTCAGAATATAATGGTGACGGAACAACAGCTAGGGGTGGGAAACATGAATTCTCCGTCGAACGGTCAGACAAGCGAAGATGGAAAAAATTCGTCCTCCAACAAGGTCGGAACGGCGGGTCACAGGGGTAAAAAACAGGGTCCAAATAATAAAACAACAACCCCTAGCTCGAACCCAAGTTCCGAATCACCATCGTCAACAGCAGAGACAACGATAAGCCACGATCAACAGGCCGCGTTTCTTCGTCTTCTCGCCGGACAAAATCCGGCTGCTCTTCTTCAAACTCCTCAAATGGTTTCGTTTTTAAAACAACCCAAAGGAGCACTCAATGGTATTTTCTACTTTTTGTTCTTCGCATCTTTTCTATAATAATAATAATAATAATAATAATAATTAATTTAATTAAATTTACAATCTTTTTGTTTATTATTATTAATGATCGAAAAACGAGAAAACTGGGAAAAAAAATTACGGTGAATGATTTTATCTTCTGCTGTCTTTGACACCCCTCCCCCCCAAACAAAAAAAAAAACTTTTAAATTCTGTTTGTTCCTTCTACTTCTACTACTATTATTATTATTATTTATTTGTTCGATACCTGATTTTCCAGTCGCGTTAAACGTTCGACTTTGTCACCCATCAAAGGAAGGAAAGAAGGGTATGAATAATAATAATTATTATTTGAATGTAAGAGGAAAGTGAAAAATTGAAAAAAACATTTTTTCTTTTTCTTTTTCCTGCTGTTCGTAGAAGGTGTGTGTGTGTGCGTGCGTGCGGGGAGGGGAGGGGAGGGACACATTATACATTTATTAATTTTTCTTGATTTGAAATTATTTTCTGACTTTTTGCTAAAATTAAAAAAAAAAAAAAATTATTCCTTCTACGTCTTTCTGTAAATGTCTCTTTTGTTATCTTTTGTATTCATATTACGTCATAATGAATAATGTCGTCATCGTCGACGACGATGACGTCGTCGATGACGAGCAAGCATCTTTTGCTCTGTCGTGTAATAATCAAAAAATTTTAAAAAATAAAAAAAAAACCACCTGCAGTTTGTTAATTCATATTATCACTAATAATAATAATAAAAATTTATCTGCCGAATATAAATAAATCAGGATGATAATAATAATAATAATAATTATTATTATTATTAATAATAATAGATATCACGTATGGACATTTAAATAATTATATAACTCCGGTCTTGGCATTGGAAAAGATGCACCCTAATGTTCTCGTTTGCCTCGTTTTTTAAAAAAATAATAATAATAATAGTGATAATGATAATAAATAAAAATTATTGTTGTTTGTTTGTTTGTTTGTGTGACAGGAGCAGCGGTATTAGTGCCTCAAACAGCGCTTGCTCCCGAAGCTTCTGGTTTAACATTACCGGCGGCCATTCCAGTTATTCCAGCATTATCGGATTTTTCCGCGAGCGGATTGTATCCCGATGCGGTCAAGGCTGCTGCTTCGGCATCTGTTAACGTGAGTTTAATTATGGAAAATTTTTTTGTCCCCCCCCCTCCCCAGCCCGTTTCCCGTGTTGTTGAAAAATGATTTTTTTTTTTTTATGAACAGTTGCTCGGAGTCAATCCTGGAATCGATGCGGTCACGACGGGTTCTTTTCCGAGTCCGGCAACGGAAACGGGTGCTGCTTTAAACATACCGACCGGAGGTCAAACAGCTCTGTGGAATCCGGCAGCCGTTTTGTCAGAGTTAGGAGAGAAAGATGTAGTGAATGGAGACAAAACATTATTGGTACTTGAAATATTTTTTTTGTTTAAACTTTCTGTCGCTCGGGATAAAAAGGGAACGTTGGCTGACGTTTTGTTTCTTTGTTACGTTTCAGGCACCGCACCTGACATTTTCCCGACAGGTGAATCCATTAACGCAACGTACTCAGCGGTTGACGCCTTTGGTTCCGACCACGCATCCTCTTGCACGCACTATCATACCAATACCGACTGCTATTCCTGCCGAAGAGAATTCCGTACTGACCGAACCTCGGACCGCCGCGACGAACGGATTTCATCCGGCTTGGTTTCCGCATCCCGTTTGGCCGACGGTGGGAGCTTTAGCTCACGCTCCTCCGACTCCGCCGAGGCCGATCGGTTTCGAAGCTCAGTGCCTCCTTTCGAAAACGAACGTTCGCACAACGACTACTTCATATTTAACTGATTATCCGACGGCCGATTGGGCGTCGAATCCCTACGCTTCTCCCATCCCCACGAACGTGACTCCCGTGGGTCAAAAAAGAAAACATCCCTACACTACTTTTTTACCCTCTCCCGAGCCTTCCCCAGAAGGTCCCTACATCGGTCAACACTCTCAGGGCATCGGTGGCCATTACATCGACAGTTGGCCGAAGAGAAAGAAAAAAAATTGATGTTATCGATATGATGATGTTTTTGTTATTGGAAATGGTGATAAAAGTGATTATTGATTTCTTATTACTATTATTATTATTATTATTATTAATTAAAAAAAAAATGATGCCGATGCCGATGATGATAATAATGATGACGTCATGAAGTTGTTGTTGTTGCTGTTCTTTTGCGATGGGAAGAAAAATGTAAAAAAAAAAAAAAAAAAAAAAAAGTCTTTCTCAATTGTACAAAAAAAACTTGTCCGTGGATTTTCGCGGCTTTCCTTTGAAGTAGTAGAAAATAATAATAATAATAATATTTCAGGTATTTTTGCTACGTTTTGCGTCGGGTAATTTTGTCGAAAAAAAAATCAAAAAGAAAAGAAAAAGTTCGTTTTTATTCTTATTTTCATTTGCATTCTTGTATATATTAATAATAATAATAATTTTCTTATTAAAATGTATAACTTTTAGTTTATTATTATTATCATTATTATTTATTATTATTATTTTATCATTATTATTATTATTACTATTATTATTCCAACCAATAACGCAAGACGATTGAAATCGAGATTTTTTATCAGTTTGTGGTCTTCTCCGATGGACTCTGATGGGGGATGAAATTGAGTAATAAGAGTCGATCGTTGGGGATTCCTTCGGGATTTTTTTGTTGGGATGTGCAATAGGGACACGGTTTGAAATTTTAGTAATTCGTCGTAGTTTTTTTTTCCAGTAAATTTTTCCAGTTTCTTTTTCAAGTTCAGAAGTAAACAAATAAAAAATATTTTAAAAGGTAATGTTATCGAGTCCTAGAATGAATGATTGAATGAATGAATGAATGAAAATCTCGATGAATAATCGTCTCGTGCTTAAAGGGTAAAAATAATAATGATAGTAATAATAATAATAATTATTTTTAAAAAAAAAAGAAAGGAGAGAGAGAGAGAGAGGAAAAATGTAAAAATTTATTATTATCGAATTAAGTAAAAAAAAAAAATCTTTTATTTTATTTTTTATTTTTACATGAGAGTCGGTCGGTCTGTTTTGTTTAAACAATTTCTTTTTTTTTTTTTTACAGACTCTATAATAATGTTGTGTAAATGCGAATGATAATAATAATAATATGGTTTAATTTTGCATTAAAAGTTATAAAAAAAAAAATTAAATTAAACAGAATATTTTTTTAATTAATCAAAATGAAATAATTATCTTTATAAATAAATTCTGTTGTTATTTTAAATATACGTGGGAAAAAAAAAAAACAAAATTAATAATAATAAAACGAATTTTTATTTCAATTTATTTATTTATTTTTTTATTTATTTATTTAATAAACATAAATAAAAAACAAACAAACAAACAAACAAACGTCATTTCAAAAAACCTTTTATTAAAAAAGAAATTTTTGATTTTAACTTTGAGCGGGTCATTCGCAAGCGAGGGACCGCATCGCGAACAAACCACTCGCCACAGTGTAATATAAATTCGGGAAGACGGCGACGTCGACTCCGGCGGACGCCGACGTCGGATGATGCGGCCGCGGATTCTCGAAGATTAGGAAGAACGAAGAGGAAAAAATCATCGAGAAGGTGGCAGGGACGAGACACGGACGAATAGTGGGGAGGTCTGGATGAGACTCTTCACCCCTTCGGAATTCCTCTCCGTCTCCGGAAGATCATTTCGTTTCTGCGGAGGAGGCGCGAGCGATGTAACAGATCGCGAGTACTTGTAGCTCCGACTCCTCCTCAGAGAAATCAAGATGCAACTCAGAAAGACTACGGGAAGATCGACTCTATTCGCCTCATTTCTCTGGAAGTTCGCATCACATACAGAGCGAACAAGAAGCCGGACAAGACGACGCCGACGACTTCAGTGATTGCGACACTGGATTCTCACGGCTTAAAATGCGGTCGTCGCGATGCCCGAACCGTCGCGTCGATCGCGAGGTAGGTGGTCATTTTCGGTCATCATCATCTTGTAGGTGGCATGGATGCGACGTGGACGGACCGCGGGGAGCCCGTCGCAACGTAGGCGGGTATAGCGAGCCTGAAAGCTCGTTTCTCTGTGGAGGAGACGGGAGCGACATAGCAGGTCGCGACCGTTCACCCGTGTCGTGAAGCGGTCGGGATCCGTATCCCTTTCGATTACGTTGAAGGAAGATTCGCCCCGGCCCGTCGGGCCACTTGGGCGTGAGTTCTTCGCCCGTGGTCGTGCGGCCTTCAAAGGTCCGCAGACCTGTGGTATGTTGGGGGATCACCGAGGTGACGGCTAAACGGAGACGAGGGCGAATCCCCCCCCCCAGATCGAACGTGTGGAACGGTCAAAGTTCTGGAGGGGTCTTGACTGAAAGGTAGGTAATACCCCAACAAGCGTCCCCCCTCTTCATAAAAGCCAGGCTATTGCGACATGCTCAGGAGTTTTAGTGGGTATGGGTCCCCCGGTTAGGCTATTCATTTCATACCGAGTCCCACACTCCCTCTTCGGAGGGGTTAAAGCATAAATCTGCATTTCTTCTGAGATATCAAAAAAAAAAAAAAAAGGTTAGGGCGGCCAAGGAGATGGCCTGTAATCCAGCTACTTGGAGGCCGGGTGCAGCGGATGACTCTGATCGTGTAATTTGGATCCTACTTGTTGCGAATTGTTTTAAAACAGTCGACGGGACGCCTGGTCAGCGTTTCCGCCGACCTACAGGGTATTTAGGGACTTGTTCCCGATGCGTGGCGGTTGAGAGCCGTTTTCCCCGATCGCAGACGAAGAGTCAGACCTGTACCTTACCAACCTTTCAGGGAGAAAAAGTGTGGAACTCGGCTTTTTTCTTTCAGGGTTCATCATCCTGCTCCGGGAAAACGGGCATGCGAGCGAAAGGACGACGGGAAGATCTTCTTGCGGGGGATGAACGGGACACTCTTCTCGCGGGGGATCGACTCGTCTCCGAAAACTCGTCATCCTCGGGGAGTGGTTCGCTTGCTTAAGGTCGGTGCGTGCGATTCACTCCAACGGTAGAAAGAAGATGCGAACAAAGATGAAGATCGGGACGACGTCGGAGTCCGCACCAGTCGGATTCTCGCTCTTCAGACTGCAAGAGTCAATCGGACGGCGGCAGGGGCGAAATGCGGACGGACTGCGGAGGATGTTTCGTCGGTTCGGCAACCTCGGAACTTCTCGCCGCCTCCGGAAGCTCACTTCGTCTCTGCGGGGAAGCGGGAACGACGTGGCAGGTCGGTACCGTCTCCCGAGGCACGAGGGAGGAAAGGATTCGTCCCCGTACTCCGAGTCGGGCTTCGGATCTCTTTCTCGATTACGACGGGGGGAGATTCGTCCCGGCTTCGGTGCGTTGGCGTTCTTCGCGGCGGTCGGAGTCTGGCGAACTTTCGGTCGTTGCGGGGTCGTCGGGGAGGGAACGGGGATTAACGTTTCTGATTTCCAGGTTCATGTCTTCGATCTTTCTCCCGGAGCGATGGCAGCGGCGAGGCGCGCAGGTGAAGGAAACGGGCGGGCCGGCCGGGAGTAGCGAACCCGTCCGGGTCGTTCGGTTCCGGAATCTCGCGTCCCCTGCGGCGGAGGCGGGAGCGACGTGGCAGGTCGCGAACGTCTTCGCAAAGGTGAGGGTGAGGACGCGCGGCGGCGGCGGGCGCGAACCCGTCGTCGTCGGGCGAACACACACACACACACTTCTTTTCTTTCTTCTCAATGGTCGGCGACCCCGGTCGATTCCTCTTCTGTCCCCCTTTCTATTCCCCACACCATTAGGGAGGATGCGGTCAAATAACTCTTCACTTTAATCTTTTTACCCGTTTTCAGGTGACGTGGTAAGTCTCAATCCCCAGCCCCGATCGCATCCTCAGGAAACAGGCGCGTTTCCCCCCAATTCCCCCACGGCGAGGGACCGGAGGACACTCCCGAAAGGTGCGAAGGTCCCGGGAGGTGCGTTCTCATTTCCGAGGAGGAGACGGAACGGAGATTAGGGCGGATCTCCCCAAAAGCGATCATGTGGAACGGCTAACGTTCTGACCTACCGGAGAGGGGAGACTGAAATGTAGGTTATACTCCCACGAGCGTCTCCCCCCCCCTTTCCATAAAGGTCACGCTCTTGCGACATGCCCAGGAGTTTTAGTGGGTAGGGGTCCCCGTTTAGGCTTTCTTCCGAATCCAAAACCGAGCCCCACACTCCCTCTTTAGCAGGAGGGGTCGTGCGTAACTCGCATTTCTCCTGGGTTATCAAAAAAAAAAAAAAAAAAAAAAAAAAAAAAGACGGCCAAGGAGACGGCCTGTAATTCAGTGTCTTGAAGGCCGGGTGCAGCGGATGACTCTGATCGTGTAATTTGGATCCTACTTGTTGCGCATTGTTTTTAAACAGTCGACGGGACGCCTGACCAGCGTTTCCCCCGGCCTACAGGGTATTTAGGGACTTGTTCCCGATACGCGGCGGTTGAGACCCGTTTTCCCCGATTGTAGACGAAGAGTCAGACCTGTACCTTACCAACCTTCCGGGGAGAAAAAGAATGTGGAACTCGGCTTTTTTCTTTCAGGGTTCATCATCCTGCTCCGGAAAAATGGGGATGCGAGCGGAAGGACGACGGGAAGATCTTCTTGCGGGGGATGAACGGGACACTCTTCTCGCGGGGGATCGACTGGTCTCCGGAAACTCGTCATCCTCGGGGAGTGATTCTTAAGGACGGTGTGTGCGATTCACTCCAACGGTAGAAAGAAGATGCGAACAAAGATGAAGATCGGGACGACGTCGGAGTCCGCACCAGTCGGATTCTCGCTCTTCAGACTGCAAGAGTCAATCGGACGGCGGCAGGGGCGAAATGCGGACGGACTGCGGAGGATGTTTCGTCGGTTCGGCAACCTCGGAACTTCTCGCCGCCTCCGGAAGCTCACTTCGTCTCTGCGGGGAAGCGGGAACGACGTG